CAAGTGTGCCTGAGAAATTGGCCATACCCCTTTTATGGCCATCAGCATGCAGCATAGGACCTACTAGACCAAGTCTTTGCTCTTGCCTTTGGTCTTTACAGGTTGCAGTAATGGATGTGACTGAATCTTCACCAGCACTCCATTGTTTCCTCTGCACTAATGAAAGACCTCAACCGATAAATGAACAAGGACAAGACAACCAGGTTTTTGCTTCCTAATTGTTTAAAAATTATGTGAAAATCAAGGGCACCTGGGTGGCTCAGTCAGTTGAGCATCTGACTCTTGGTTTTGGGTCAGGTCATGATCTCACTCAGGGTTGTGGGATCAAGCCCCGAGCTGGGCTCCATGCTCAGCAGGTAGTCCTCTTGGGATTCTCTCTCTCTCTCTCTGCCCCTCTTCCCATTTGCTCTCATTCTCTCTCTCTCTAAAATAAATAAATAAATCTTTAAAAAAATAAAAATTATGTGAACATGAAAATATATATATTTTTAAAAGTTAACTCCCAAAGATTTATATTATTAAGTCCTCAATAGACATCCTTCTTTCTCACCTTCACTGATATGGTGTAAATAAATGCAAAACAGTATGAATTCAAAGCAGAAAAATGTCACTATGAATAGAAAAGTTACGTCTCTTTGGAGAATGTAGGTTTTGAATTGAGCCATAAAGTCTCAGTAGGATGTGAAGAATACAAGAAAGGAAATCCCATGGTGGAGGAAGATAGTAGGAACAAATGATATATTCCAGTGACAGTGTGGCATGATCTTAACCTGAAGGAGCCAGTAAGAACAGAATTATGTAGGAATTACTTCTGGCTAAAGAGAAAGGTAGATGATCTCACCTGTGTGTTCACACTGTCTCCATAACCTAGAACAGTACCTGGCATGCAGTAGACATTCAGTAAATACTTACCGTGAAAAAAACACAAGCAGACCTACGTTGAACCAACTATGATAATACCATTGAAGAGGGATCACAAAGTACTGAAACACAAAGCTGAGGTCAAGGGGAGGGAGTGAGCCTTCAAAGCTCTGTTGACATAGTATTCTCATTTATCAACCTCTGACACATAAAAAGCTAGAAAGTTGTTACTCCAGTCCTTACAATTAGAAAACAGTTAACAAACTGAAAATCAATGGACCCATCAGAGAATTGAGGTCACAGGGCAAACTGCCACCCTGAAATCTAGAGAGACAAGAGGATACAGAGCATCATCACTAAGATCTGCTTACCTGGAACAAAAGTTGCAGGAGCCATAAACTGGAAGAAACACCTTAATGGTAATTTTGCCAAATTATTAGAGGCTGAGAATGAGAAGCTAGTGTGAGAATGAGAGACTCTTGGGGGCCACAGTCTTAGAGGGCCCCCCCATTTTCATAGGTTTTATATTCAAGAATCCCACCAGGGTCTCATAGTGAAGAGCCAAAAAAAAAACTTCCCTATGCTTCTGGCAGGAGGAGGGGAAAAGTAACTTCATTTTTGAAAAAGCCCCACAGCATTATCCATAACCAAGGCCTATGATGCAGGGGAAAAGACTCTACCGGAACCTTATCCCACCTGAGGGAAGTGCAATCACTCAATTCCAGCCCACCACTAGCCTTCCTGTCTCTTCTAAGGTAGAGGGAGAGCCAAAAAAAGCTTCTGAAGGTCACAGCACAGGGACACAGGCCCACCAAAAGACTAAGATTGAATCACAAGATTAAAAACCAGAATACTTTCCCCACCCTCCAATATCTTACACCACATCAATGGGGCTCCAGTGTGATAACACTGGACTTACGGCTAAAAGAGCAGCAAGACATCACTTCCTTTCAAGGAGGCGTTATTAGAGAAGCCCAAAGACAACAGGAGAAATAAAAAACTAGGACACCAGAGCAACGTGAAGACTTGGACACCTATAGCTACAGCAAAATTAAACAGCCCAATTCCTAGCTAGATCAACATCAAAGCTCACATTAAAGAATTATTAACCTCAATTTCTATTCTCTGATAAATCATGTCCCACTTCCAGTAAAAAATTGCAAAACAGCTAAATGGCAAATAAAACACAATTTGAAGAAACAAAGGAAGCATCAGATCCAGACTCAGATGTGACAAAAATTTTGGTGTTATCAGAGAGGAAGGGAATTTAGGATGACTATAATTGATATGTCAAAGGATTTAATGGAAAAAGTAGACAACATGCGAGACCAGATGGGTAATGTAAGCCGAGAGATGGAAACTCTAAGAAAGAATCAAAAGGAAATGCTAGAAATTGAAAACACTGTAACTAAAATGAGAAAATGCCTTTAATGGGCTCATCTCTAGACTATCTTTGTCCAAGAAAAGATCAGTTAGCTTGAAGATATGTTAGGAGAAACTTCCCAAACTAAAATGCAAAGAGGAAAAAGAATGGGAAAAAACTGCATATTCAAAGAGGTAGCTAAATAAGAGATGGATAGACAGATACACACATACATACATACATACATGTGTACACTAGTATATAGAGTATACATATGGATATGTTAATTTATAAGTTTTAAATATTTTTACATGTAGTTAATATTTATATAGCACTCTGTAACAAGCAACTTCCTATGATTTTTACATATATTGACTCATTTAATCCTCAAAACAACTGTATGAAATAGATGGTATCATTGTCCCCATTTTAATGAGACTATAGAGGTTGCAGTAGCTTTCCCAAGATACATTGCTAGTAAATGGTAGTCTGAGAAATGTCAAGATAAAGAAAGTGGAGGAGGAGTGGAGAATCACAGACCCAAATCTAAGAGAAGTCAAGAAGTGACCAAGGAATTCAATGAACATGCTGCTAAACTGAAATCAAATGGATAATAAAAGCTATAGCAGGTTATAAAAGGCCAAGATTGTAATCTGCCTCTACTATGGCCCATCTAGTGGGTTAGAGGATTTATAACGTGAAGTATAAGATCAAACTAAAAATGCTAAGTGGGCAAGAAAATGGAAATGCTTCACTACGAGGATGAGCAATAGGCAGTAGGAACTGAGAGGTATATGAATTAAATAAGATTTGATAGGAAGGAAGTAGATTGAGGGATGGGTGAGCATAATTACACTTTCATGGAATTAGAGACATAATTATGAACTAAATTGGTGCTAAGGACTTAGAAGGGACTGAAGTTCCTTTGCAAGCATGGAGATGAGTGATCCTCACAACAACCTGAGCACCAGGAGCACATAATACAGAAGACACAAGGAATCAGCACAGCTGCTTAAATTATCCAGGAGTCCTCAAGTGCAAATCCAAGAACAATCTTTCTGCTCAGCCTGCCATCCTTACCAACTATAACTATTTATTGAAAACCCATTATATTCTTGATGAAATTCTAGGCACCTTGAGAATTCTCATAGCATGGAGATGATGGCCAGAAATTTGCCTTCAATGAAACACATGCTAATGAAAACATTTCCTTTTGATCTGGGGCCAATTGCTAAAGTTGTATGTTTGAACACATGGATGTCTTTTTACAAGCAAAGCACAAAACCAGAGGCTGAACAACACTTTTGGAAGCACAAAATCTGTGATCATTATCTGGCTTTCCAGAAACATCTGGAATTTGAGTTGCTATTTTCATTACTCTGGAAAGCAGTAAGCTTCCTCCTGACATTCACCTCCAGGCGACCTTATTGTAACAGTCCTTAAAAGGAGCCCCATATTTGTCTATGGAAGTAACATCTAAGACATTGCCTGAATCATCTTGTGATCCATATTGTCTAGAATCATTCTGCCTTGGAAGTGAGCTGGGAATGACTCTTAAGATATAATTACATTTATTTACTTAAATGTTTTGTTTCATTTACCTTCCGTGCTGGCATTTAACTTATTTTCATAGGACCAAGCTCTTCAGATTTTCCAGATAACTTATAAATGTTAATTTTAAAATTATTTGATCCCTTTGCTGCAATCAACTACTTCAGGGTAAGTAAGGAAAAAGATCTTGCAACTAGGTCAACTTTTCACTTTTTGTTTTTTATTAAATTATTTAAAAATAGAACTCTGATTTTAGCAATTTAGCCCCCCCCAGATATGTGAAAATGTCACAGATCAAGTGGACACCTCGGAACACAGGTGGATTAAACAATTATTACAGTAACTTACCCTAGAGTCTTGATTGCCAGATAAGCTTCCCTATTATTCAAATTTTTACTAATGTAACATGAGATTAAATGCAAATAGATGAAAGAGTGTAAGAAAAACTAATGGCTGTGGCATGTGCTTTCTGGTATGAGCATTTCTGTACAAGTCAATGTAGACATAAGCTTTTATCCTTTGGGGTAAATAACTAGGATAGGATATCAGGGTTATGCAGATGTATGTTTAACTTTTTAAAAAACTGAAAACCATTTACATAGTGGATACACTATTTTATATTACCACAAGTATTATGTAACAGTTCTAGTTGCTCCATATCCTCACCAAACCTTGGAATGATCAATATTTTAAAATTTTTGCCATTTTTTAAAGATTTATTTATTTATTTGAGAGAGAGAGACAGGGGGAAGGGGCAGAGGGAGAAGAAGAGAGAGTCAAAAGCAGACTCCGTGCTGAGCATGGAGCTGGATGCCGGGTTTGATCTCACAACCCTGAGGTCACAACCTGAGCCAAAACCAAGAGTCGGATGCTTAACAGACTGTGCCACCCAGACACCCCAAAATTTTTGCCATTTTAATAGATGCGTAGTTATAACTCTTGAAAAAAATCAGTAAGAAGAAAAGCCAATCAACTGAAATTTACCCTGCAACAACACAAATAATAGAACTGAGATACAAGGATATTAAAAATGTAATGCTATCTATATTCTGTATGTTCAAGAAGTTAAAAGACAGACTCAACCAGTTAAGCAAAAATATGAAGATATAAAAGGTCCAAACAAACTTCTAAGGATGAAAACAAAAATATCTGATATGAAAAGTACACCAGGTCTCTTGCTGCAGCAATGCGAGTGGGAGCACCAAGCGCCGGGCTCAGAGCAGAACTCCAGGGATCGCTTTAAGAAAATGGCAGACAAGCCGGACATGGGGGAAATTGCCAGCTTCGATAAGGCCAAGCTGAAGAAAACAGAGATGCAGGAGAAGAACACCCTGCTGACCAAAGAGACCACTGAGCAGGAGAAGGGGAGTGAAATTTCCTAAGAACCTAGAGGAGTCCCCACCCCTGTCATCTTGGAGACACCCGTCATGATGTGGAGGAAGAAGAGCCACCTGCAAGATGGACATGAGCAACAAGCTGCACTGTGAACCCAGGCACTCCGTGCTGACGCCACTGGCCTGGCGGTATCTGAGGGGATCCCCCCTCAATCGGACTGCCAAATTCTCCAGTTTGCCCTGGGATATTATAGCAAATTATTTGTATGTTTATTGAAAATAAAACACACCTCGGGGCAAAAAAAAAAAAAGTACACCAAATTAGACCAACTGCAGAGTAAGCCTTGTAAGAGAAAAAAAGTAGTAAATCTACAGGTGTAGTAATAGCAATTATCCAAAGTTGAGAGATGTAATGTATGCTGATTAACAAAACATAATTAAAAAGAACAAAAAACAAAGCTGAGAGAAAATAAGACTGAAAAAAATGAACAGAGCATCAAAGAGCACAACTTTAAGTAGCCAAATATACCTGTTTGGGGAGTCCCTCAATGGAAGAGGTGGGGAAAAAAACATATTTGAAGAAATAATGGCTAAAAAATTTCAATATTTGATGCAAACTATAAATCCACAGATCCAAGAAGCCAAGCAAACCCCAGGCACAAGAAGAAGAAAAATTAGAAGGAAGAAAAAGATCACACCAACATAGTATAATAAAATTGCTTAAAGTTAGTTAAGAAAAAAATTTTAGGGACTCCTGGGTGTCTCAGTCAGTTAAGCATCTGACTTTTGATTTTGGCTCAGGTCATGATTTTAGCATCCTGAGATCAAACCCCACATCAGGCTCCACACTGAGCATGGAGCCTGCTTAAGATTCTCTCCCTCTGCCCTATCCCCACCCCCCTGCTCACAAGTGAAGAAAGAAAGAAAGAAAGAAAGGAAAGAAAGAAAGAAAGAAAGGAAGAAAGAAAGAAAGAAAGAAAGAAAGAAAGAAAGAAAGAAAGAAAGAAAGAGAAAAGCAGAAAAAATTTTTAAAGCAGACAGAAAAGAGAAGCATCATGTGCACAAGAACAGAGATAAGGATGACAGCAGAGTTCTCATCAACAACAATACAAATCAGAAGACATAAAAAGAGGGGCGCCTTGGTGGCTCAGTCAGTTAAGCGTCTGCCTTCAGCTCAGGTCATGATCCCTGAGTCCCAGGATCGAGCCCCACATCAGGCTCTCTGCCCAGTGGGGAGTCTGCTTCTCCCTCTCCTTTTGCCCCTCCCCCACTTGTGCACACTCTCTCTCAAATAAATAAAATCTTTTTAAATTTTTCAAAAATTAAAAAAAGAAGACACAAAAAGAAAAAAAAACTGTTAATCTAGAATTCCTTACCCAGCAAAAATAGCTTTCAAAAAACAAAGGTGAAATAAAGATTGTTTAAGACATACAAAAGCTGGAAAATTTTATTATCAGCATGTCTTCCTTAACCTTGGGTAGTTTCCTTATCTGCATAAACGGATCACTACTAAATCAATTTTAATTTTAATTTTAATTTTAATCTGTGCTGGAGACATGAATTTTTCACTTAGATGAAGGACAAAAGCAGATGTTGAGGGGCGATAAATAGATATCTTTATATATATCTATATAATTTTTTTGCTTGTCAAGATCCTTTTTTCAACCATTTTCATTCTCTTTTCTGACTAGGATACTTGACTGAATGAACTACATCAATAGTCAGTGATACGTGACTTCCATTCCAGTGGGCTTGATCAATTGGGCACTTTGGAAAGAGATCAGAAGACAGAAAAATAAGGTCAGAGCTCCCTTTCTAGAAGGCTCAATAAGCTATGTTATTCACACAGGTCAGTGCTACACAGGTCATTACTCTTAAACTGGCTGACTTTATATGACTCTTTCCTTCCAGACCACAGTACCTACACCTGACAGGTACAGTCCCTACAGGTATAGTAAGGGCTTAGGTGCCACCAAGCCCTATGCTACTCCATTAACCTTCTGGGTTTCCCTAAACCCACCTTTGTAAATATCTCTTGTGAATAAACTCTCTTTTAATTATCCTACTTTGTGTATGGTATCTGTTTCCTGCTGGAATCTGTCTGATACAATTTTTTTCCTCCGAATTTATCCTCCTTTTCTTTAGGAGCTAAATGTCAAAAGAAAAGGGAGAAATTAACCCTAAAGTGGATATAAGATTGAAAATGTTAGGCATGACTAAAATTGGCCTAGACTTTTTAATAACTGAAAGTGAGTAGAAATCTATGGAATCAACCTAAGGGGTCATTAATATGGTAACATAAAAATCAGCAGAAATGGGTTAAAAATAGTTGTGGAGAAAGAATTAAAGCCATTTTCTATTTGTTGTCTCTCAAAACCTACCCTTATTATACTGGGTATCTCAGTCACTGTGTAAAGTAATTTTCAAAGAGGCACAATTTCAGGTAAATGAAAAGAAATTCCAAATGTCCTTGCATCCCCCAAAGAAAATAAAAAATATCCAACTTACAAAACATAGTGACACTTTTCAAAAAATATTTTTGCTCTCCCCTCAATTCCTGAACACTCTGCCAAGCAAGTTTCTCATGTTGGTACTTTGCATCCTTTCAACATGGGCAAATGTCCCCAAATTCTCTCCAGTTCTTTAGACTACCCACAACTTTCCTGTCTTTTGTCCTTCCTTCCAACATTTCAATACCTTCAAAACTAAACAACCTTTACATCTGATCCAGCAAGTAAACAAGGATAAGCTCTGTTGTGGCCCATTCTCATTTGTCCATTCTCTCTGTTCTGCATTACCAAAACAAAACAACAGCAAAAAGCAAAGAAACAAAACAAAAAACTGAGAAATTGTTTGGGAAAATAAAACTCACCTGGAGAGTAATGGATATTAAAATGAAATGCTCAGTGGTTAAAGGACAGTGTAAGAGGCATTGCTCCTGAACGTCTATCATTCCCTTCCTGCATGAGGCTTAGAAAAGCATCTGAGTGATTAGTATGAACCCAATGAATCCTAGCAAATTTTCTGTGGCATGTGAGAAGGACAGAAGTGATTTGGGTCATTTAGGTATCTCTGAAAACTGAAATTTTTGTTTTTGTTGTTGCTGTTGCTGTTTTTTTAAAGATTTTATTTATTTATTTGACAGAGAGTGAGAGAACACAAGTGGGGGAGCAGCAGAGGAAGAGTGAAAAGCAGGCTCTCCACTGAGCAGAGATCCCAATGCAGGACTTGATCCCAAGACCCTGAGATCATGACCTGAGCCAAAGGCAGCCACTTAACCAACTGAGCCACCCAGGCGTCCCATGAAAACTGAAACTTTTGAACATCAAAGTTTGGATTTAAAGAATCCTTCCACAGAAAAGTTGACTATAAGATAGTTGTACTATTTCCTGTATCATATTAGTCATCATCCAGACAGTTGCCAAAATGAGTAAGTAATGCATTTCCTCACACATTTTACTTTTATGCAGTTGTGGATGAAAAGTCTCATGAGCCCACATACATTCAGTTCTGTGTTTTACATGGCAGTGCCTTCTACTATTTTGATATTCTAGACTCTGTGTTTTGGGTTAATGAAAAATACCTGTCATTCTGGATTATCTTCTGTGCACTGTGTAAAATGTGCTAGGTACAGTATCTCACACCTACAACAGCTCTGTTGGGTGTGACTCCCATTAGGTGAGTTTTAAAACACTTTTATGGCTTTTTATTGTATTTTATTCCACTGAAAAAAAAAAAACCAAAATAACTACTTGTGGCTCATGGAAATTATTCCTCAGAAATATTATTTCCCTTTTGTGGATTCCTTTTTTGGGGTGCCAGGCTGGTCTGTCAGTCATGGTTTTCTATCAGCAGCCCTTGCCCTGCTGAGTTGCTAGAAGGCATGCTTCAAGGTATCTGAAATTTCAAGAGGCAAAAGTTTTCTTTTTGGCCTCCGGTTATCTCCATAACCTCACACCTGGCTTCTTAAATTTACAAAAAAAAAAAAAGGTCCTTTGTAGATATTAGAGTAAGCTATAATTCAACATTTCTTCCTCTCAGTAAAGGCCATCTCTGTAATCTGTAGCAAGGTCTCCTAGGGAGTCTTTTTTTTTTTTAATATTTTATTCATTTATTTGGGGAGGGGGAAGCATGAGCAGAAGGGCAGAGGGAGAGGGAGAAGCAGACTAGTTGACCAATCCATACTCCATTCACACACACATGCCAATAGTTGGGTCAACTTTATAGACTGAGGGCTTGATCCCAGGACCCCAAGATCATGACCTAAGCCAAAGGCAGACACTTAACCAACTGAGCCACCCAGGTTCCCCTCCGATGAAGTCTTTTTAATACTTTTATGGAAAATAAGACATACAAGAATGAGACAACAATGAGAAGAGCCTCATGGTAAATAGCCTTTCACTAAACTTTAAAAGAACAAACGCACTTTAGCAAAACAACCTTGAAACTATCCCAGCTCCTCTGCATCAAACACAGTCAGTAAAGAAGTGTTTACCGAACGCTCCTACAGAGGAGTGTACAAGAATACTGAAGCATTTGAAATGTTCCTAGAGATAATTCTGGCTTCCAATTTACAGAATGGCTACTAATCTGATGGTTTACAATAGTAGATAAAATATTCTATGGATCTTGTTTCCTTTTCCAGTCCTTAGAATGGATCTGTTCTCACTGCCTTAGCATAATAGCTAGTTTTTGCTACATAACAAATGACCCCCAAAGTTAGAGCCTGAACCATCTGTTTATCATCATGCACAGTTCTACAGATCAACAATTTAGGTTGGGGTCAGCTCTGCAATTCTGCCAGTCTAAGTCACTCATGTGTTTGTAATCAGCTGTCAGCTTCTGGTTGAAGCCTATCCCATTGATCAAAATAAGTCATATGATTCATTATGGGAAGGCACTACCAAAGGGCAAATTTATAAGAAGTAGTGAAAAAACTGGGGCCATTACTGCCATCAATTCACTAACTTATTTTTCTTAATTATTATTTCCATCTCCTATAATGGCATCTCCTGGACAATGAACGTCCCTGCATGCACTGTTCTCAG